CCATTCCAATTTCCATTTCCGTATCCATTTGCGCCAAAGTTTCCGTTACCCCCTCCTTGTTGTGGTAACCCGACATTCATAGGGACCATATTCTGTGGTGCAGGTGGGGCCACATTCTGGGGAGCCACATTCTGGGCTACCGGTCTCACTTGAGCTGCTGCCTGTATCGCCGCCACCATCGCATATGTTATCGGTTGTCCCGTCTGACTGTCGATAAAGGTCACCTTTTCCGTGACCTCTTTGACCGGAGTCTCCACACGGTATTCGACTGGTTGCTGGGGTGGTGCCGCTGCCATTCTCTGTGGCGGCACATTTTCGATTTGCCCTTGGCGGATGGTCACGTATTCCTGATTACGTTGACCTTTAGGCGCCTTATATTTCTCTTCGCCGGTGGCCCAATGTCGGAAGAAGTCCTTCACGTCCGTTGGTGTCTTGCACTTTTGTATCCGCAATGCCTTGTAGAGTTCATTGTCTCCTCTACATCCTTCAATTAAGAATCCGACTGCTTGTTTCTCCGTGATGATTCTTTTTGCTTTGAATCGCATCATCGCCTGATAATACTGGTCCAGCGATTCTTTTTCCGAGTTCAAATTTCCTTGCATAGGCCTCACGTAAGCCTAAGACTTCTTCATCTCGATCACCATATTCGTCTTTGAATTTGTCCATCCACTCTGTTATTGAGTATTCAATTCCATCTTCGGCTGCGATGTCCTTTTCTCCTTCAAACCATGTTTTTGCAGGACCTTTCACTGCACTGGCTATCTCAATCATGATTTGGTCGTCCGTCAACTGATAAGTCCTTTGGGTTTCTTTCACCAATCGTGTCCACCCACTCACTGTGTCACGACTGCCGTCAAAGGTCATGAGTGGTGTTTTCCTGGCCATCGAGTTGAGTGCTTTTGTCAGTTGCACCGCTGTATTTTCTGCTCTCTGGTCATCGTCTTCTTCGCTACTTCCATCATCGCTTTGATTTCGTTTCGCTTTTCCATAACGGGATTTCCTTGGACGCTCCTGCCGGCTGGGGGTCTGTCCCGTCGTCCTTCATCAATGAACACATTTGTTTCCATGTGCGGGGGAAATTGTGAAGGGTCACCTCGACTCATATGCGGGTAACTTTCCGATGGTGGCTCTTTGTCATCTTTGGCCTTTTCCCCGTCCTTTTCGTTTTTGACACTTCCTCTGCCAGTACCAGTTCGTAGCGGCATGTCGAAGTGGAAGCTTTTACCCGTGCCCGTTTCATGCGCCTTGCTGTAACTGGGCGGAGGGGACTCCACTGTTGTCGTTTTAACTCCATATTGTAGGAGTTGTTCATCTTTGTGTTTGTTAGACGTCTGGAGCGCCTTGTTCTCATCTTCCAATCGTTTAGTTCTCAGTTGAAGTTCTTCTCTTTCTCTCTTTAGATCAGAATTTTCCAGGTTGACCTTTCGTAAGTGTTCCTGCAGTTTAAAGACTCTGCTAGGTGACCTTTTCATTTTCCCGTTCCATCTTTTGATGTGCTCGACCAGCTCACTCGTTTCATTTTCGAGTTGCTGATACTGCCCAGCGGCTGATCTCAGCTGATCCTTGATTGCGATCAACTCATCATCTTTGCCAATGCTGTGGTGGTCATATCGACAGGTCAGTGTTCAGCTTTGCAATCTCCTGACTCTTTTGAGCGACCTGTTGTTGCCACTCTTTGTCCTTCAGCTCCAATGTTGTGACCATTGTGTCCAGTCGCCGTGCTTCCTTTTGCCATTTGAGTCCTTCCTTAGTGACCTTTTCAATGTCTTCTATGACCTTTTCATTCTCCTGGTTGACCTTTTTGATTTCTTCTTTCAGGCGTTCTCCTTCAGTAGCTGTGATGTCTCTTGCCTCTCGCATCGCTTTGATTGCATCATTGCGCAACTTCTCAGCTTCGTCCGCCCGTTCCTGATGACCTTTCGATTCTAGTTGTAGAGTACTGACTGCTTCCTCCCGTAGCTTCAGATCATTCCTTAGTTTGAACGTCTCCGTTGCCAATGTCGTTAACCGTTGTGTGACCTCTGCGAATTTGGTCGCGTATTCGTCCCGTTTAATTTCAGCTTCAGTGACCTTTTGACGCAACTGGTCGCACTCTTCCTTCAATTCCGCCAAGTGCCGTGACCTTTCTGCTGATTCTTCTGACATGCTTTCATTAAGGTCACTGACAGCGAGATGACCTTCCATTTCTCTGTCATCTGCCATCTTTAGGTACTCTTCTGCAATTTCCTTTTGTCGCTCATATTTGACTTTCCAACCATCTGCGGAGCTCTGGAGGTCACCCTGTTGCTGTTCCAATTCGAATAAGCGAGTTTCGAGTATCGATAATCTGTCTCGATACTCCTGTTTCCGCTTGTCCGCCTGACGTTCAGTGGCATCAAGTTCATTTTCCAGCTCCCTTACGCGTCTCCTAAGAGTTGACGTAGGACTGTTAGGTGACTGTGGTCGTACATTGATAACCTTTCCATTCTGTGTCCGGTCAATTAAATGTTCGGGGATATCCTTAAACGGGGTCACTTCTTCTGCTCGGTCAGCCTCTTTCATTGCAGTTTGAAAAGGACATGTTCATCGTTGCGTCATCATCTGTGAAGTATGACTCGTTGGATTCATCTGAGACCATTGGAGTTGCAAAAAGGTCATCGTCCGCGGTCTTATCGTTCAGTGAAAGGTCATCCAATCCCAGTTCGGCTAGTTCCTCTCCGGTGACCTTTGTCTTTTCCATTTTCGATTGAGTCAGGTTCGCATTTTTATCCTGCTCGTCCGTTTTGCTAATGGTAGTATCCAACTGTGATGCCCCTATTGCTTCCACTCCTGTTTCTGTGGACTTCTCCTCCCCGGTGACCTTTATCTGGTTCATCGGATTGCCTCCCGCCGTAGACGCGGGAGTGTGCTTCTGGTCGTCGCTGGAGCTTTCCTGATTAGCGACTGACTCGAGCGCCTTCTGATAAGTGCTATCAGAGCCTCGTGAATCCTTCTTCTCGAATGCCTTGGGCGCTCGAGTGTTCCGCTCATGTCCAACTGGACGTGAGTACGGGTACAGATCCTTTTTGTATGGGTTTGGTGCGCTTTGCTGTGAACTGCGGGAGCTTTTGCTTCCCTGACTGCTGTTGGATGTCGGTTCGTCTTGGTCTTTGTCCATGTTGATCGGACAACTTGGACGCTCCTGCCAATTTATCTCACACACACGTTATTGTATGATTTATTCAATAATCCTAAAGGTCACTCTGTACCTCCGAAATTTTTCTAAGTCCTTATTAAAGGTCACTTTTCGACTGAAAAATTTCGACTAAGTCCTTTGTAAAGGTCACTTTTTCGGTAAAAAGTTCGAGAGATTTGCCCTAAAAGGTCACTTTCGGACAAAACTTCGAAACAGCTTTTACGGTTCCAAACACGTTAGTGAATGAAATCCTACAGCTGCTGATATCGCAGTACCACTATTCAGTTCAATTTCGCTTCGGTAAAGGTCACCGTTCGTCAGTTTCAGATCATAAAGGTCACTTAAATTGGTCAATTTGGTCAATTCCAACTTTTCAGTAAAGGTCACTTTCAACTCAACTTCTGTTAAAAGGTCACTTCTCAACTCAATTTCAAGTTAAAGGTCAATTTCCAGCTCAATTATATCAAGGTCACTTTCTAGCTCGACTTTGGTCAAAGGTCACTTTTCCTTTGTCTGAACTCAAAAGGTCACTTTTCGTCTCAATTATCTTATCTCAAATCAAATTTCCCCTTACAGCTAGAGTTCAGCGGAAAATCCCCATTCGGGTTGTTTACTTCTTTCTGATTGGTCCGCTAGCTCAAAATATTCAATTCAAATTTCGGCCAATCACGGCTCAGATAACTGACCAATCACGTTAATCCGTTAAAAATTTTTATCTGCCTGACGTCACGGTCAACGGCCAGACATGCGCGCCGCGTGCAAAACTCCGCCTACTTTACGCTCAGCTCAGTACGGACCAATAAAAATTGCCAATTTTACCAACTAGCCAATCTCGTAATTATTGACGGTTTTCTACCTGTTAACCGTCCGTCCGTTCCGCGTTCCACGGGGAAATGATCCAGATGATCCAGATTCTTCTTCCACTATCCGTTCCCGCGCTGCCGCCGGTTTTACCGTAACGGTGGTGCCGCACGCTTTTGATGGGTTACTGTGCCGGCTGACTGCCGTAGCAACAGTGGTGGCGCTCTACTCCAGTTTGGAGGAGTCTGATCTGTCTTTTCCCGTGCGCCCCTTTTGGCGCTTCGCCGCTTGTGGCCCACGGCTTAGGCTTCGCTGAAGCCTTGCCGAGTATCAGTGACACCAGTGTAGGTCTTCGCTGAAGACTCTACACCGAGGAACACTGACGACTGAGATCTTGCACTCTTGCACAGCTGGGGCAACAGCACGGTTCTTCGCTGAAGATACCGTACCGAAAACCGAAGCTGGAAATCCGCGTCAGATGAGGCAGTTCACCGCTTGTGGTGTGCGCTTTGCTGTTGAACGGACCTGTGCCTTACTGGTCGAGTTCCACATCAAATAACAGGCCAACTTTGCCTGACACAAATCAAATCAGAGAACCGCTGTCGGCTCTGCTACCATCTAATGCTAGATCCAGCAGTGATCCAGATACGGAGACCTAAACGGAATAGATCCCGTGGAGTGAGCTATGCGATAGGTATAGCGAACTACGCGGAATCACGAAACGTCGCACCGCTAATAGCTGACTTTTAATTAATTGAAAATTCCGACAACAGAAAATCAATAATGATCGGCGCAGCTCGATCGTAAAGCGTGGAGCCCATTCAACAGTGTGTAACACTGTGCAGCACGTGCTATGCCGCGCCCACTGACACAACTCAAGCCAATCAAAAGAGACACAACACAGACACGTAATCCAGTGGCGTAGCGTTGCGGACGTGAACGCTAGTGAACCCCCGCTCACAAAGGGCTTTAGGTTTTCATTTGATACACTAATTCTTCAGTGTGCCAAAGAATAAGTCTTTTCCATTGTGCTAAATCGTGTTGACATGGTCCAGTACTTGACTGCGACTGTCCGCGAACGTGACTCCAGATTAGACTTCGAGCGTGGGCTGCTTAGTTCTTGGTCAAACCATCAAGTTCTTAGACAGAATCTCGAAAATATGAGCAGGCAAAACATAACAAGAGCGAGTGTCGAGGAAAAATCCTGTATGCAACAAAAAAATTTGAAGGTAAGCCGCTGTGCAGTGCAAAAACGCCCAGAGCCAGGCGAGCAGAGTATTTAATTATCCGACTGAACACCGAAGAAAACAACTTGTCAGAGTAGAAGTACTTAATAACTCGAACGAGTGTGTCACGAGTCCGTTCAAGACTGTCAACGATTTCCAGGAGGACCGACAAACGCAATGAGGCAGATGGTTCCGTACAGATGGTCCAGGCCAGCTTGGTTTCCATATGCCACGTACTCGGTCTTCACAGTGTTGTGCTGCGTGACTTCCGTAATCCAGTGAATGTCGGTGGTCGGGACCGGAACGTGATCGTCTATTTCTTTGTCGTAGATCGTAGCGCAAGGTCTGCGATCATCCGCGCGCAAATGAGGGAGAAAAAGAGCGCCATCTCCGATAAACATCTTAACCATCTCGTCTTCTTGGACTTCTTGCTGGCCCGAAAAATCCATTACCCGGTCAGTTAAGACTTCCATTTCCGGATCGGGGTAGCGGTCGCGATCTTTTCTGTTGATGTCCCAGGTTCTGGTGAAGATCTTCGGCTCAATAGGTATGCCTAACTGCTTACATACGCGTTCGATTACGGCGTTGCTTCCCTTCAGACGCCCAGCGAAACTCGCGGCAACCGTGCTGGCGCTCAGTGGATATTCGTGCTGCAGGCCGAAACCAATGCAGCCGCCGTGCGGAAGGAAGAATAAGGATCTGCCAACAGCTGCTCCATTCCCTTCTTAAACTCTTTTTCCTGTTGACGGATGGATTTCGACTTCGGCAGACCTGTCTGAGCAGTATTATATCTATTGCCGAAGTACAGGTTGTAGGTCAGCGTGACGCGGTGTCCCGACAAGACAGGGCCCATAACGTGTTCGACGTCATTGCGGAAAGCAACGTAGCCGACTGACGGACGTGCAGTGGCGGCCAGCTCCTTCCCGGTTTCGAACGACCACTCTTTCCCGCCGTGGCGCAGAATGAACTTGCCGCCCGTGTGCGGAATAGGGAACACGATCACCAGCGATCCAAACATCTTTGCGCTGCCCGGCGTGCCATTGTATGTTCTCCAGCTGTCACCTTCGCCTAAAAGTAAAACGGAAAAAAATATTTAAAATAATTTATTATTCATATTTAAATAATAAGTATTTCTAACACATAATAATTATTAGAAAAAATATTGCATATAAATGCTTATATTTAAAATGATACTGTTAGAGTGTCAGAGAATAGGGCAAAATGTAGATCGCACGCGCATGTTACAGTGTTACACCCAGCTTTACAAGCAATCAATTCGTAAGCATTGTGCACGTTATGATAATCTGGTAATCATAGCGTGCAAAATGTGCATTTGAATGATCAAAAACCGCGAATTTTTCAATAATTTCTTAGATGGTTGGAGGTTCTTTCGACCTTTAGTCTGAATTTTGACATTTTCTGCTATTTCTTGTGTTAACAACTTTTCGCTCCGGCACTCACGAAAGACATTCAATTTGTAGAGCTCACACTCCACCGACTTGGTGATGTTGTGGCGACCGAGAAGGTCGTTCTTCACCCGTGCTAAAATACCGCAGCGCTGCACATCAAATTTGGCAGCGAAATGGTCGACGTCCAGTGTCAGTTTCTCAGCCGTGTGAAATGCTGCTTCATAACCGTCCCGTTTGTTCAGGCCAAAATGCGCCGCATGACAAGCACGCGCCAGCAGCTCCACTTGTTCGGCTGGTGTGTTCAGCAGAGAAATGTGCCTGTGAAAAATACGAGCAATACAAATATCCAATTTAAAAACCCTTGAACGTTAATCTGCAGAAGCCTCTAGCAAAATTTCTGAGTATAACAGTATCAGGGAGGCTCATATCGAATAAGAAAAACTGGGTAATTCGTAGGTGGGTACTTTTAGCTCATAAAATCAAACCAAAAAAACTATAAAATTTACTGAATGAACCAAAAAGTTTTCCAATAGCCTACTTCCAATGGAGTCTGGCTACTGCAGAGATTATAATAATAACTAGAGCTGAGAACTAAATCCTCAGTTTTGCTCACCGTGCTGCATCCACTGGCCGTCCTGTAAAATAAGCCAAATCTTTGTGGGACCAAGTGTGGTGATGAATCGATCCGTAAGAACTGTTTTCAAGGACTTGATAATTTCTTCCGAAGGCCCACAAACCGTGCTGGACATACTCCTCTGCATCACCTCAGGCATCCATGCAGGTGCAGCGATAAGAAATTTACGGAGCTGTTGTGCGAGCATCATTAACAAGCACAAAATACTTAACTATTAACTAAGTACTGTCACCATCGAAAGTCTGGAAACGTTTCAGTACACACGTTCTGTATACTGTCCAGTGTCTACACGGTGAAAAATGCACAAAGATCTAAAATTCTGGAAGATTGTGCGGGTCTCCCTAGAAAATGCTATACAGTTGTCAAATTTCATGAACCTGCCGAATTTACGATCATGGTTTTACTTATTTAATACCGAGTTACAAACGTCGAAACTGACCTGTGGCTGTGAGACTCATGTCATCGCATCCACTGGATGGTTGGTAACGACTAAAGGTACTTCTACTCTAACCATAAGTCTGACTGTGTGCTGTTTGGATTTGGCGCCAAAATACATACAATTCAACGCTTAGCATTAATGAAAAGTATCGTATACGATAAAATAAACCAAAAATTTAAATATAGAAGTATATAAATATATATAAGGATATTTGGATTTAAATAAGATATAAGGATTTAAATATATATATAAGGATATTTGAAAAGTTTCACGCATACCCGTGGAATTACATACAGTAGAGATGGCCTCAGATGGGCAACGGATAGGAATATCCGATTTTATCCTATCCGAATCGGATTTCGGATTCGGAGATATATATCCGAAACGTTCGGATAAGGATTGCATTGCAGATAAGGTTGCCTTTCGTTCATGTCTTTTGCTTTTAGGTACATATTTTGTTGATACATCATTTAACTAATGATTTAACAACCCAAGAACCTGACAGCTTACATTTATTTAATTTAAATAAAGGTTGTTCTATGTGCTTCCAAAAAGCGTTGATTTGATCATATTCCCTAATCGCATTCTAAATTTTTTACCGATCCGGCGGATTATTTATTCAATTTGAGACATTACATTCTGCATATATGGCACAGGGCATCCGTACCTGGTACAAATATTGTGATGAATCTGCTGTATATGTACATACGAATTTCATCTTTCTAGCAAAACACGATTAATTATAAGTGTAGTGGAATATACTGTAAGATTAATGTAGCGAAACGTAATGAATCGATATAAATTATGGCAATCTGTGAAAATGCGATTATAAATCGCAATTACATGTTTAAGAAAAATGAATTTCCGGCGGCAACAGATTTTTGTTCTGAATTTCACCGAATAGGTCGCCTGGAGGCTTTTGCCTGTGGTGACTAATAAGCGATTCTCGTGCAAATTGGCAGTTAATGGTGTTGTGCACAACAAAATAAATTAATAATTGATAACTATACTGGCATACACCAAATCGCGTAAACCTGTTATTTACGAGGAAGCGTCACAGGAAGCAGAAATGAAGCACGTGTCACGCGTATCGGTCATAAAGTGTCAAACACACCGCTCAGTTTTGTGTAGTTTGTATCTATAATGCAGTCCAGTCCACAATTTTAAACGAGCAAACCACCGGAAATTATTATTTGGCATCGCGTTTTGAAAGCGTTGTTTTGAGGCTGTGTTCACATTATTTCCCAGGCTTAATTTTATCAGAAAAGGTCGGCAGCGGACACTTAGAAATTTGTTTCAATGTTTCGCCGTGCATTCCGGCTTTGACGTATTATACAGTCGTCCGAGGCAGAGTGCGGAAAATCTGCAGATCAAATTGATTTTTGAATTTATAAACAGCGACGTGACGCCGACGTCCACAACGATCATGATATTGAGATCGATTATCGTATTAGTTGTTTTTTCGCTCCTGTCAAACATAATTATTTTCGCACAAGGTACGATACAACCGCATAGAACTTTCAGATCTGTACATTGACTAGAATCGAAGGGTTGCTGGTTAGGAAAATTTTTTCAAATAAATGAATCTTAATCGTGTGGAATACTTGTAGTCACATTCTCCAAAGTCTCAAGTCTACATCGAAAGATCCGAGTATCTGTCGATATTATAATTTGTGCGAGTCAACGGAGATCTGTAAGATTAAGAGGATACCAAGATTACTAGAATTACATATATAGTACAACAGACAGAGTAGAAAGCCATGCAATATCTGTACAGTTAAGATGTTTGCATCTTTTTTAATTCCAGAGAACACTAATAGTCCGTCAAACTACGGATACAATATGGTCTGGATCGGACCGCCTACTGTTAATCGGACCTATTTGGATTTGTTCACTCAAATACTGACGGAGACTTGGAAAAATAATGCGAGTCCTGATGCGGCGAGACTTGTTATTACGTATAAAGGTCAAGCAAAACCTTTTGCAGATTAGATCTAAAGAGTGGCATTTGCAATTTTACATCATCCTAGTTTTGTTTCCAGGATGTCGGTTAACTTTTTCACCGGTAGTTAATCACCACTATGCTTACAATTATGTGATGCATGCACAAATTTTGCTGTTATACGGCAAGATGTTCACATGTCTTCGTACGGGTTTTACCGTACTTGCTTTGAAGGATGTACTTCAGTTCTAAGCAAATAATTTAATTCGCGCATCCCAGGCAAGAAATAAATAAAGGTTATAAAACAGCAGCACGCGCCGTTTAATATTTTATTCAATTATTGTGCATGACGTTTTTAATTAACTCGCTATAATTCGTATTATAATTGTAACCGTAAGTCAACTAAACTTGAACTTGAGCCATAAAATTACGCTCAGTTGTGTTTTTTCCATAAACGAAACTTACTGAAGTTGCAGCGACGTCAATGACCATTTACTTATGTATACTATCGTATATTATATTCTGGATAGACAATACATAGCACACTTTTATTACGCATAATGACCTGCATATACTGCATTATTATGATTTGCTTCCCTCGAACAAGGTCAAAATATTAGATCAGGTCAAAATATTAAATTTAGTCGTCTTAATTAATTACTGTAAATGGGCGCGTGAGCATTGATCCGTAATAACAACAGTGACTGCGTAAAAATAAGCTCGAGATATATGATAATGGCGTACATAAGCAAGTTTTATCATTGTCCTTAATTTTTTATAATTTGTTTAACTTCTTACTTTCATAGAAACCTGCAACTGTTTTGTACCGCCAGCTAATCATAATTCATTTAAGAAATTTGTTTTAATATACGGGCACAGAGCAGTCGTGCCTCCAGGTCTGAGCACGTAAACCTGCAAAAACTTCCAACAGTGTTCATTTTTGCCGGGAGTTTTATTCAAACCGGGTATTATCGCACCCAGGACATTTTAAACTCATCAGTTAAACTGTTAAAATAACTGAAAGCACACCAAACACCAGATCCGACCGCGATAACCAGCTTTGCCAATTAGTAGTTTCACCGGCTGATTTACAAGTTTACACCGATTAGTCCACGAAACTTAAATTAAATTAACCTTTACACGCATATGTTCAATCCGTGCATGAAAATCCGCTTTCTCTAAATTAATTACGAAAGAATTACAAGTGTAGCTGTTTGGTTTCTATCTATCTGTCGGCAAAATAAAGGAACAAAAGAAATGTCAGCACGGAAAGATAAGAAGAAGAAGACACTGTAGCCGTATTGCAGAAATCCGTAAAGCACGTGACGACTTCTTTCTTGTATTTTGGTCCACTGAAGTAACCGTACACCGGAGCAGTCTGATTGGCAGCGCTGTGGAATCCGCACTTCCGGAAGACCCGTTTCTCGGGATAGCCCTTTGTGTACTCGGTTGACGTGGCTGTAAAAATAACCTAGCTTAAAAAATTAAAATGCGAACTCATCTTATTTACGAG